ATCTACAGAGTAGCCCAAGTACTAATTTTTCTAAAGACCCATCCAACAAGTGGACAGGTAAATTTTCCAAGAGTTATTACTTACTATTATAAACTAATATAGAACTTGTAAATTTCACAGAATTGATTATATGTTTGAAATATCTATATATATATATAATGTTGAAAATATATAACTCATATGTATATATATATATATATCAGATTCCAGTTCACTCTATTCAGGGTATTACTTTAAATATACTAATAAATAAATCTATATTTTAGATATTGACACTAGTAAATAGAGAGTCAGTCATTCTACAAAACAAGATCTCATGTAACTTACAATATGGCTTAATCAATAAAGACATGTTAGATTTGCAAGTTGTGATCATAGATAGTTAGTGTGGTTGAATAATGCAACACATAGTGTAGTTGTCCAGGAAATAAAATTAGAAAAATATTAAATAACTAAAGGCCAACAAAGACCAACCTTAGCTTTTGTTGATAATATATAAAAAAAATTATAGAAATTTATTTCTCGATTTCAGCATCCATGAATGCTAAAATAAGATATGTGATGATTAATATTTGGATAAAGTCATATGAGCAAGACAATTATGTAAATAAAGATCTATCACTATCCTACTTAACAATAAATCTGAGTTTGAGTATTTTAGTTAGCACTATATTTACTTAGTGACTTAAGTTTATATAGATCAATAGGAACTTGATTGAATGTGAAAGTTGTAAGTAACATGAAACTTATTCTTTCTAGAAACTTCACAGTCTTTATTTATATTAAAAAAGTACTGTTACAAGTAAATGGCTTATATACTATATATTTAATTTATATAACAAATTTCATAAATGCAACAATATCATAAATGCAATAAATGTGATAAATTACAATTTCTTTTATACTTGTTAGTTAAGCTGTAACACAAGACTGAATTAAATTTGGGTTTACATATAAATTGTTAAAGATTAAAATAAAAACATATAGTTTATTAACATAAGCTTATATAGTATAACTGTAATAAAATTAGAGTACAATTGTAATACAACTGTTGTTACAATTACAATACAAGTATTAATATAATTACAACATAATCATAATACAAATAAGACTATAATATTGCTTATTTTTGTACAATTTTTATATATAATTACTAACCAAATTTAATATTATAGAATTATATACAATTATTTTGCATAATTATTGGTCAAATTTATTGAATTGTATATTTTTATACAATTATTATTACTTTATAGATTTTTTAGTTTTTCTGCTTCAATACAAATATTGTATTATATTGAATCTATTTTGAATATAAGTTGTATAAAACTTAACAAAAATATAATTTATTCTGTATAATTTTTTTTTATGGGGGATTGGTTCATCTAATTTCTTTCTAAAAACTAGTACATTTGCTCAGCTTCACAAATTCTAGCTCTGTTTTATAAGTTTAGTCTTTATAGTAGCAGTATTGAAAGTTTTAATTATTTTTTTACTTAGGCCTTCTAAGTAGACTTTCATCTTCTTATCTGGTTCTTGTGATTTACATAGTCTAAGGACTTATCATAAGTTCATACTGTCTGGTATCAGTTTATGTTCTTTTATACAATATTGTATAAATGTTTAGACCTTTTAGTTATGCTAGTATAATATAGGTTACAAGTATCTAATTTCAACCAAGCATAGAAAACAGTTAATCATAATACAGAAAGAATTGCAAATTTTCATCATTATTAAAATTTGAACTTTAAATCTGTTACTTGAGAGTTGACAACCTAACTACTTCACTAGGTTACTACATCTCTAAATTAATATTTAATTATAATATTATAAAATTAATTTTAAATAAAATTTTAACTAATAGTAGAAAAGTTTATTCATTTAGAATATTTCAAAAATTTTAAAATATTTTAAAATATATATATATATATATTATTAATATAATATCAAGTAAAAAAATAAAAATATATAAATATACTAATTAGATATAATGTATAACTAAAGAATTATTTCTAAACTACATTATTATTGTTATATATGTCTAACTACATCTAGTATGATATTATTCTCTTATTTTCTATTATTAATTAAATTAATTATTATTAATATTTAGGAAAATTTATATATAAGAACCTAAAAATAAAAATAATTACAAATACAGGTCCAAAATAAAAATAATTACAAATACAGATCCAATTTTTAAAAATTATTATAAATAAGAACCCAAAATAATTTTATATAATACAAACATATAACTCAAGTTTGAAATTAAAGATTAAGCCTCAGTCTAAGACTCAAGCCTATGATATAAGTTTATTAATGATATTATATATTAATTAATTATATATTAATAAATCTTTAAATCAGTATAAATATAATATACAAGATAATGCTTACATATCTTTTACTATAAAATTCTTACTTGTATTCTCTAATAAACCTGTAAAACTGTATCTTCTTTCAATCTTAACATAGTCTGTTTTTACAAAAATTTGCTTAATATTAATGTCAAGTATAATATTGCAGATTGGCATAATATTTTCTAATATGAAAAGCATTCACTTAGCTCTAGACTGTTATACTGCTAAATTCTCTTTACTATATAAGTTCAAAATGAACAAGTCTAATAAACTACTTGTCATTTGCCTTACAAGCAAAACTAGTATATGTTTTTTTTATTATTTCTGCTAATAAGTGTAAAAATAATTGTATTCATATTATATAATTGATCTATTATTATCTAACTTGTCCAATCTTAACAAAGATATTCAAAGCATATAGATCTTATAAAGTTTACTGCACTATTAGTTGAGAACATAGCAGTAATTTGACCTTGTGATATTATAAACATGACTTTGTAATCTGTGCTCAGTTTGTAGTCACGTGATGACGATCATTCAATGTTCACTGAACTAATGCAAGTTTATGCACATGAATATATATTAAATATCTAATTTATGGTATCACAAATGAGTGCTGCAGAACGAAAACCTGGAACTGAATATTAAAGTTTTTACTGTGATGAACTTAGCTCTGAACAATTATAATAAAACAAAAAACACTGATTATCAATACTAATATGTAATATTATAATTGTTCAAGAGCTAAGTTCGCCACAGTGAAAACTTAAATATTCAGTTCCAGGTTTTCGCTCTGCAGCACTCAAATAATAAATTATGTTATCATAGAAAAAAATTTCAAGTTCTTATTATCTTCTTTATTATCTTCTTATTGTTTATACTGGATGTACATAAATTTAGCTTATTTCTTAATATTACTTAAACTAATAATAATTAACATATTATGCATATCTGATATTTCTATCCTAAGTTACGAACTATCTAAAAATTTTAGTATTTAAAGCATTGCTTAAGCAAACGTGTAAATTCATAAGAAACTTAATAAATGATAGAAATGATTTATCAATTAAAAAATCAGAAATTTATAATACTATATATAGATTATTTCAAATAATTTCAATTAGCAATTGATATTTTCTTATTTTATTTCATACCATTAGGTCTGCTTTCCATAAAAGCCTGTTGTAAATCATGTGATTTTTTTTTTTGCCGTTTCTTTCATGGAGGCATAATAAAGCGGGCTTGATCCTCTTCGGTCTTAGTTTTGGTCACATTATTATGTATGTAGTTCCTTAGTCTTCCTTGTCATGCTTTTCTAAGCCCACGGCTTGATTCTTGTCTATGCCTAGCAGTTGCTGCGACTTGTACCCTAATTCTTTTACCTCCATGTTGATGCTTATTACTATTAACTCGACCTGTATTCCAGTTGCACGTTTGAAAAAAAGAAGATATCGATGGTCGGATGTAAGTATCTTGTATGGAGCGGTGTTGCTTGTAAATTTTGACAAATTTGCGTACGCTTTTATCTAGCACAGGATCATTTTCCTCAAGAAGTTTTTTAAGGTTACAGCAGAACCACTGAAATTCATTCAAAGCTAACTGATGAAGGTTATCACTCTCACTTGTATCACTATTATTATCATAACTATCTTGACTATTACTTTTATTACTATCATGACTATCGCTTTCATTACTATCTTGACTATCGCTTTCATTTTTACTTATATTTTCCTCACTTGAAGACTGTGAAGACTGTGAAGATACTAAAGATATGGGTTCTATATTTTCTTTATTTGGGCTATTAAATTCAGTTTCATAATCTATACCATTATTAATATTTTTTATGTATATAGTATATGTAGGTTCTTGTTCAAACTGTGCTTGATGAATATCAGTATAAAATTCAGGCTCTTGACATCTCTCACCTAATGCTAGATAGGCATAGTGATACCAACTACTTAATGACATTGTAGGGATTTGATTTAAGCCACATACATGGTAGTGAGTTGCTATTGAGTTTTGATGCCTACATGATGCTCCTGTCAAATTACATTCGCACATTCCAAGCTTCATATCTACAAGATACCATACATCTGGATTTTTCTTACTTTTATGTTTAAACATTATTGAATTAAGACTTACAACCTCAATATCATCCTTTGATCCTATTTGCCAGCCTGGAAGAAAAAAACATAGTGTAATAAAATGATCTAACCTATTATGAGCCATGGCTAATAGCTTACAGGTATAATATAGGTTCATTGTATGAGTAATGAAATAGAAAATTTGTACTATGTTAAATGCTTGAATTCGTCCAAAAATAACATCTTTTATTATTCATATCCCAGCTTCGAAAAAATTATTTGTGTTATTATTGCGGGTTGGTAATTGTTAGTGAAATGAGATGGCCCATTCCTTGCAGTGATTCCAAATAACTCTAAAATGTCTCTGGAAGTGTGGATATTTTAGGTATGTTTGATTAGTTGTAAGTTCTGCATAAGTGGCTTCAAGTGTAACCTCATTCCTTGCGAAAACAATTTTTTTTAAATATTCAATGAGGATAACACGATCATTCATGTAAATGCTATGCTTTCCTTCTTATAACCATTTCCACATTGCCTGCAGAAAATGAAAGACACATTACAACAAGGTTGCCTTTTCCCAAGTACACTGCAACGCTTTTCTTTCCGCAGTGGAATCATTGGTCATAATGACTTGAGGTCCAACAAGAGGTCCACATCCACCAAATACAGTTGATGGCATTATATGCTTTAGCATATCCAGAGCTTTTGTAAATGTGATTGTGGTTTCATCTGATGTTAATATTGCAGCAAGAGGTAAGCCACCAATAGGAGTACTTGTTGAGATAATAGTCAAAGGAGTATTGAGAGTGTCAAGACCGACTGTAGCATCTATATAAACTAATTCTTTGGCTTGTTGCAACGAATGACAGCACTTCATAAGGTTTGTTATAACTACTAATATAAAAGGTTGTCCAGGATCACCATTCACTGATGCAATATATGGTTGCATCCATGCATTTTCTTTCATATGGGTATTAAAATCTGAAACCTCTTCAGCTAAACGAGAAAACATTTCTTTTTTATTCCATGCACCAATAGATTCATTAAGAAACTTTCGATGAAGGTTATAAATGTTATGTTTATATGGACAAATTGCCCTATCAGCCAGTACTACTTCATCATTGTCATGTTTTAGTTGAATCTCTTCTATATATGTATTATACGCGCTAATGGGGGTATGTTCAGAATTAAAGAGACTAAAAAATGTTTCTTTTATATTATTAGATATAGGGCGGAAACTTGTAGTATGACCTGGTGCAAGAGGATGATTATGGTGAAATAGCAGTGAAATTATACATGGATAAGTACAATATTTATTTTGAACTTTTATGCTGAGTTTTGCTAGGCAATTAGTATCTCGTGTATGTGCACTAACTTTAGCCTTTTTTTTCTCTTCAATTTCAGTATTTTCACTTATTTCATTGTCGACATTGTTTTTTTCTTGTCCTTGTTTTAATTTTACTGCATGGCCATGAATACAATGAAGACGTTTTGAAAAAAGATATCGAACACCTTTAATAATGTGTCCCTAAGTTTCTCTCATGGTTACTTTATGTAAATCAGAAAACTTTTCAAGCCATGTTTTGGCATCATCAATTGTGGAAATATTTACATGGAAATCTGCTTCGAAAGGTTTTGCGCATGCGCCTAAAACATTATATGCTTGAATTACATTGAATGAGTCAATGATGTACTTATAGTCTTGAGACAAAGCATGTTGCAAAATATCAAGATCAGATTGTGTAATTTTGATGTCAGATATTGAAATATACGCTACATTTGTTTTGGATATATTTAAGATGAAATTTAATTCCATTATTTTTTTTCCTAAATTAAGTTCTATTATTATGAACGCTCATGAACTTTTTGAAGGAAAGCTTCTCAGGATCCAAGTTTAGACGAATAGAAAAAAAAAAATTTAATTGCTGAAAGGTACTTCTTTTATATAGTGGCCATATAGATTATTATATCAATATTAGGTAAGTATGAGATCAACTTGTTTTATTGTATAATTTAATAGTTTAATTTTAATAATGCATTTTAACAAAAAGTTTATTATCATTATTCATTTAATATATATGTTTTATAACATCATTTTATACTTCAATATACTTTATTGTATTATTTATCTTTATTTACTAAACACTGCTTAATGCTTTATATCAAAAACCAGATTAATATAACTTTTTTTTATATTTATCATGTCAATGTTTCTGCATGTATAATCCATACTAATTAACACGATACACAAAATGTGATAATTGCATTATCCATCCCAAGCTATCATAGCAATTAACCAAAGTTAAGTATTATTATGTAATTTATTTCTTTCTTAAAGTAAGCACAAAGCTAACCTATACATTTTTTGTTGCGATTCAACTCAAATTAGCATTT